AGAAAAAATTTGAATGTCCATCCTCTCAGAGTATCGAACCCATGGCAACCGAGTCAACAAATCTAACTTGTCACACAGCTTTACCAACTGCGCCATGCTTCACATGGCTACCCTGCGAATATTTGGCTTAAAACACCTCCACCCGGTTAGTAAACAAAACTTATTTTAAACCGTTATGGGCCCACTAATTGGTCTATAAAAAAATCCTTCGGCAAAATTGTTCGACACATTAAACTCTAATTTTGGGCGGAGTTTGAAATTTATAGGTTAATATTATAGGGAGTTACGGGGTGTGATGTGTGCGTGCCTCCTGATACGACTTTTGTCCCTTTTTCAGTCATTATTCGCTCTTTAACAAAGAAAAATAATTCTTTTCACATACAGAACACTTTATTCGCTTTAAAATATTGAAAAGAAGTTAAAAAAATAATATAAATTAAAATAAATAAATAAATAAAAATAATCCGAAATTTTTCCGTTTCCTGGCTATTATTCGCTATTTCCCAAAGAAAAAATAGTTTTTTCAAATATACCGAACACTTGATTCACGTTGAAATATCAAAAATAATATTGAAAAAAATAATATAAAAAAAAAGAAAGAATTTGAATGTCCATCCTCGCAGGGTATCGAACAAATGGCAACCGAGTAAACAAATCTAACTTGTCGCACAGCTTTACCAACTGCGCGATGCTTCACATGGCTACCCTGCGAATATTTGGCTTAAAACACCTTCTCCCGATTAGGAAACAAAACTTATTTTAAACCATTATGGGCCCACTAATTGGTCTATAAAAAAATCCTTCGGCAAAATTGTTCGACACATTAAACTCTAATTTTGGGCGGAGTTTGAAATTTATAGGTTAATATTATAGGGAGTTACGGGGTGTGATGTGTGCGTGCCTCCTGATACGACTTTTGTCCCTTTTTCAGTCATTATTCGCTCTTTAACAAAGAAAAATAATTCTTTTCACATACAGAACACTTTATTCGCTTTAAAATATTGAAAAGAAGTTAAAAAAATAATATAAATTAAAATAAATAAATAAATAAAAATAATCCGAAATTTTTCCGTTTCCTGGCTATTATTCGCTATTTCCCAAAGAAAAAATAGTTTTTTTTAATATACAGAACACTTGATTCACGTTAAAATATGTAAATAATATTGAAAAAAATAATATAAAAAAAAGAAAAAATTTGAATGTCCATCCTCGCAGGGTATCGAACCCATGGCAACCGAGTCAACAAATCTAACTTGTCACACAGCTTTACCAACTGCGCCATGCTTCACATGGCTACCCTGCGAATATTTGGCTTAAAATACCTCCTCTCGGTTAGTTAACAAAACTGATTTTAAACCATTATGGGCCCACTAATTGGTCTATAAAAAAATCCTTCGGCAAAATTGTTCGACACATTAAACTCTAATTTTGGGCGGAGATTGAAATTTATAGGTTAATATTATAGGGAGTTACGGGGTGTGATCATAGAGTTGAAATACCTACTATTTCAACTCTATGTTTAGTTCAAGGCAACGTTTTCACTCTTGAGATAAAGGGAGGATAATCGCTACGTCATTGTTTGCGTCATAACTTACCCTGTCTATTCCGTCATTTTTAATCTATGAAAGCTACAAGCGCATTTATGAACCATGGATCTGCAAAACGGATCGTCAAAATAGTACAACTTTCCTTAAATGAAAACAAATGATTCAATTTCTTTAATTAAAGACTCTTTTTAATAGTTAGTGCTAGTCATTTATGTTTTGTCATTTTATTTATGCCTATGATGAATCTATTAAAAGGAATCGCTCATGTTATACCTTTTAGAACAATATGTAAGTTTCAAAAGTAATCAAATAGATTTTGAACTCCAAAAACTTATATGTTTTGTACTAAGGTTAAAATATTTGATGTACCATTTTGTTACTTACAAATAGGAATTTAGAGGTTAAGAATTTGTTTTTAAAAATATTCTTCCTAGAGATTAACCTCTCACCCCTCATATAAACATATTGTTCAAGAAGACAGAATAAAATTTTGTATAAAGATATTATAAATAAGGTTGCAAACTTCTTTCAACGTCATTTTGCGCGCAACGATAGTTTCCTCGAATTTTCCTTTTTTCCCGAAAATTGGGGTATTTTCGTTTCGTGATCTGTTGCTCCAACTACAATCGCCAAGGTGCCAAATAGATTTTAAACTTGCAAATTTAAAAAAAAGCATGCATATTTGCCCGTGGGTGGGTACGAGTTATACCTTTTGAGTTGGTCCCTTTCTGTGATGTTTTTTTGAAAAAACTTCTTTCGAGCCACTGCCCGGAAGTTTCCGAGACTTGGCGATCATTCTGCCACAGATCACAATACGGAAATCTCCCCTCAAATTCACAAATATTTCAAATGCAGGAGAATCGTTAACAATTTAAGATTTATTTTATTATATATAACGTGTTTTAGAAGAGTTAGTAATAAAAATGTACTGTCAATTTACACCTAATTTTCAAAATTGACTATATATGTTCAGCGTATTTCTTCAGCTTGTTGTTTCCTTTTCTGAATAATGAGTAGAACATTAATATTGATTTAAAATAGCAATTAAGAAAACTGTCACACTATTAAGTTTGATCAATGACCACTGATGCAAGCAGTTGTATATTCTGATCATTTTATTTAAAAAGCCAACCTAATTTTATGTAAAATGCCAGGAATATCATTGAGATCAAAGATAATGAACGACAAATACATTTTATCATATGCATTATTAGTTGCATTGATTCTATATGTATGTTTGTGGTTGACAAGTTTTTGACACATGACGGTTTATACCATGGTTTTTACCATCATGTCAAAAACCCATAGTTTTGGTAAAACTGTATTTTTATTTGAGTTAAACTGCTTATAATTTAAAATTAATTCATTTTTGGGCAATGAAATTAGAAAAAAAGTTGTTAAAAGATATTTAAGAACAGATTCTTGCATTTTCCCAACATAATTATATGAAAACATACTATTTAAAGTAAAATATTAGGATACTAAGCAAAATTTTCAACTTTTCCAAGCACCATTTTGTTTGGCATATAACATTAATGAAGAATGTCAAGTCATTCTTGACTTCTTGTTTGTTAGTAGTTACAAGTTTTGAAAGTTTTGTTTAGCTAATTTCTAATATTTAAGAAATGCCAAATTTGAAATTCTTCTTTTTAGTTTTTGAATCTATTAATAGTTCCAAGCTTTTTTGTTTGTTTATTTATTTCTAACAATTAAGAAGAGCAAAATTTTGATGAAGTGGTGAAGTGTTTCTACTACTATAAAAATACAATGCTAATTCACTGCCAATTCATAAGACATGTTAACTCGATTCTATGGTGGGACAGAGCTCATTCTAGGCAGTAAAAAATGGGCATTATTATTCTAAAAAGGCAATAATTTCTTTCTATGGGCTTTACACGTTCTATTAAAAAACATTGTAAATTAGTAAAAGAATTTTTTTTTTTACTTTACTAAAAGTAGCAAAGCAATCATATTAATTACTAATTTTTATTAATAAATTAGCATATATCGAGTTAATGAGCTAATTAGCTTAGTAATTTATTTAAAATGCATGCATATATTAATAAAATAATAAATGTATGTTTTCAATTGTCTGTAGTTATGATTTAATGATAGTGGAAGTAACTGCAAACTTTCAAAGACAAGTGCAACAAGGGGGTTTGATGGCAATTTTTCCTTTCCCATATAAATCTATGTATTGACAGCAATGGCAAACTAAATAAAAAGAGTTGAAAATAACAAAAGTTTAAGAAATCCATTGTAGAGTTTAGGGGAAAAATAAAGAAGAGCTGAGGAAAGAAAGGGCAAAAAGGGTATGGAGTCTATTACATCAGGGCACTAATTTGCTTCAGGGGCAACAGGTGGATTCTTTTGTCTTGAAGGGCAGCAGGGTGCTGCACCTTGTTTACCCTGCCTAGAATGAGCTCTGTGGTGGGGTACCTTTTCATAGATGAAGGTTGATATTGTCAGTAACTTCTCACCCAGATTGGTGACCCGGATGTGATGTTGACACACCTACTTTGACAAAAATTCCTGCTTTGATTTAAATATGCCTACTTCGGTGAATGGTCTACATTGAAAAGTTGACTTGCTATTTGTGACTGCAACATTATCCACCTCCTCGCACTGTTGCTACTCTGTCTCGATCACACACAATGTCGGTCTGCTCATACTCGACTACCGATGGCAACACAGGAGCAATCACGATACTGAACTTGATACAGCTCTCCCGATCAGCAAAAGTAGTTCGATGATCTTAATACAGCTCTCCCGGCTTCTCACAAAACAGCAATGAATCAACTAGTGGTATCCGTTCATCGAATTCTATCACACATATAATTCTGGTGGGGGTGTTTCTACCACTATTAGAATACAATGCCAATTCACTAGTATATAAGACACATTAACTCGATTCTATTTTGGGGTACCTTTTCATAGATGAAAGTTGACATTGCCTATAACTTCTCTTCCACAGGTGGTATGGCGTCCTCTAAATCAAATTATTACGCCCCCTGCTAGGAATGGAATAATTCCCAATAATTTTATTCGATTCTATCTGACAAATTTCATATATGAATATTTTTATCTGATTTAATTCACTTTCTATACTTGTAGGTTTATTGTTTATGATTTGGAACAACTCCAGTTATGCAATTCAAGGTAATGAGAAGAATGTAGGGTTCTATTGTGATGATGAAAGTATAAAGAAATCTTACCATGGGGACTCTATTAATATATACATGCTATTTTTTGTCCTCTTAGGAGTTTTTGGTTTCATTGTAAGTATAATTCATTTAATCTGTTTTCTTCTCAAAGGCTATTTTATTTTTACCAACTTGCTTTGCTTATGAGAAAATATATATTAATCACCTTCTCAAGTTTCCTATTTAAAGTATGTCCTATTTAATCATAATTTAATACAATCAAATTTGTTTTATGTAACCAAATTTGTCTGTGACTCATACTTTAATAAGATTCCAAAGAATGACGTTTGAAGTTGCTTAAGAGTTTGAAGTTGACGTTTAAGTTGTTTGAAGTTGACGTTTGAATTGCTTAATTTATGAGAAAATGTATCTTAATGGCCATCTCAAATTTCCTATTCAAAATATGTCACATTTATTTAATATTTAAAACACTAAAATTTGCTTTATATAACGAAATTTGTCTGTGAGCCATATTTTGATAAGATTCCAAGAAAGTGAATGTTTAAAAAAAAAGTAATTAAAAAATCTACAATGTCTACCTTATTGAGATCTTCAAAAAATGCATTATAAATCTGGAGTGTCATCTGTTTGACAATTTGTGTTCTTTATTTAATAAAATGAATTAAATTTTTTTTTTTACCTACTTATTTCACTTTTTATAAGTGCTATTAAGATTAAGTTTCTCCAGAATTTTATTTGTTCGAGTAAAAAAAAATTTTTTTTTTAATATGAGTTATGCAAGCATTTTGAAAACCAAGGGAGAAATAAAAATGGTTATTAATAATGTATACATAAAAAATTAAGATAAAGCTGACATATCTAAATTTTTTATCATTATCAAAACCTAAAACCAGATCACTGACAATATATCAATATAAATTTGCTTTATAATGTCTAAAAGTTAATTAAATATTTCTGAATATATTAAATATTTCTAAAAATTAATTATATATTTCTTTTCTCAAAACATTAACTTTTAAGTAAATTTGGGAAAATTCACCTCATAACCTAATGTTTACAGTTTTTACATTAAAACTGTACATTTAAGCACACAAATCATTAAAAGCATATATATATATATATNTATATATATTATGAAATGTTGTTCATTTATCTATGCCAAAAACATGAAAAAAAATTTAAAACAGATTACTTTTTAAAAATATACACAAATTAACTTGAAAAAAATTATTTTTTTATTTTTAATTATTTTCCTTCTCAGAAGATGAAAAACTATTTTCATCAGTATTCCATCATGTATTGAAGTTCTGCATCAGAATCAGATGTACTTATATGCTCAGCCATTCCATTTTTGTTTCATGACTTTAATAGTTCAATATTGCTTACTTCATAGCTGCCAACTCTACTAGATTTTCCAGTAGACTGCTGGATTTTGCCAGTATCTCTTGGTCTACTGGTTTAATTCTCCTGGTTTTTGTACATTTTTGAAAATTCCCTAAAATTGAGTAAGTTTCTGAAAGAAGTCCCTATTGAAATAAAATTTTTGTATAGATTGTTTGCTTGCTTGAATATTTAAATGATTATTATACTAATACATAATGAAGTGAACCTAATTTATAGAAATCAGTTCAAAGCTTTTCTTGTTCTAAAAAAAATTTTTTTTTTCAGAACTCTTTTTAAATTAATTAAAAAAAAATCTTTTAACTGTCTTTTTGATAAATTAAATGCCTATTAATATTTGAAATTATAAGTAAACATAATACATAACATTTCAAGTATGTTTAATGTCAATCATAACTGGAAAATATTGCATTTTTTCTATTTTGATGACTATAAAAATTCCCTATGTGTAAAATATTTAGTACATCATGCAACAATTATCATGAAATTTATATTTTTTAAAATCTGCTGGATATTTTCCGATCAATGTTGGCAGCTATGTAACTTTTCACTTTAATCTGTTTCTTTGTGTTGAATGTATTAAACCATAAGTACTAAAAATTTGTTCTGTTGCTCTCGTCATCTTGTCAAATATCTCGTCATCAGCTCACATGATTATATCTGCAAAAAAGAGTGCTTTCTAACATTGTATTAATATAGCCAAAGCAGAATATATATCAAAACGAGGAGTGTTGTGAGGAGCACCCAAGAAAATTGTATAAAAAAAAGTACATATTAAATAAAAAATATGCAAATTTTTGTCATATTTTATTTAAAATTTTATTTAAAATATTTTATTTTTCTTCTCTTTTCACAAATCTTTATTATATTTTTTCTGTGTTTTTCTTTATATTTTTAACTTATTTTATGTGTTTTATATACTTGCTGCTTATGTGCTGTAAGTAAAACTTATTATTTTTCTTCATTTTTCTCTCTTTTCTTTTTGTCTTTATTGTACTACACAGGGTTGGCAAGATTTTGCCGCAGGTGGAAAAAACCATGGTAAATACCCGTAAAAACTGTCCTGGCAAAAAGTGGCAAAAACCTATATTTTCCAAGATGAGAGGACAAAAACACATTTTTGATACAAAATTATTCCTAAAATTGAAATATATACTATGAATATAAATAATTACCAAAAAAATTAACAAAATTATAATTCCATAGTTAAATGATAATGTAATAATATATAATTTTAGTAGTTTAAAACATTATTGATTGGAAAATTTGTGATTATTCTCTTTTTTTCCAGTGAAATGAACTTATTTTAAAATAATATAACTATAATTTAAAGCAGGGCTGTCCAACTGGCGGCCAACTTCTTTTTCAGTCTGATCGGCCTCAGTTTTCCCATTAAAATGTAAGCAAATTGTTTTATAATCCTTCTGCTCCATTGTTTTATAATTAATAATTCAACTATTAATTGTTATTGTATCTGAGCTAAGAGGATATTGTTCAACTTTTTCAAACTGCGGCCCGCCAGGTGATCAGTGACCGGAATTCTGGCCCGTGGGCTCTTTGCAGTTGGACAGCCCTGATTTAAAGCATAAAATATCTATCAACATGTGTAGTTAATTATTGTACAAGTAATAATATTTATTTATTTGTAAAAAAACATTTACTTAAGGATTCTAAAATGAAAAGAGATCAAAAACTTTAAATCTTTTAAAAATTATTACCCTTATATTAATTATTAATATGTTAAAAATAATTTTTTCATGTAATGTATCAAAATTATTATTCCTTATGATTGATTTAAATTTGTTTCTAGTATTTTATAATAATATTTAATCAGCAATTTAGATAATTTGGTTTTTGCCGGTTTTTACCAGTTTTTGCCGGTTTTTACCAGGTTTTTTCCACTGTCCTGGCAAAAACCTCTTTTTGCCGGCAAAAACTCCAACCCTGGTACTACATATATATAAAAGCCAAAACTTTTTAGTGCATTAGTTCTTAAAATGTACTTCTAACTTTTGTATAAATAATATTATAACTATGTTCAAATTCTAATTTACGCTTTTTTAAAACGCTCACAGAAATGGCAATTTTACAATTGTTCTATCTATTGACAAACAAAACAAAGAATTTCAAAACAATGAAAAACTTTTACTTGAACACTTAAGGATTTTATTTAGAGGTGGTTCATGAATGATGTCACACTTTTTTTCCCGCACACTTTGGCACTAAATCTCATGGCGTTCGCCTCCCAGTAAAGGGATCTAGATTAGAATCCCAGCAATGGCGTGTTGATATGAATTCTTCTCCCGACTTATAGCAACCACAGTGCTGGCGTAAAATATTCTCAGTGGTAGACGTATCGTGGCGTAAAATCCCCTTGTCCTAATACTTTATTCAGGAGTAGTTTCCTTGTTTTCTGGGTTGAATTCAAAATTGCAAGTTGAACATTTATAGTTGTAAATACAGAATTATGTTGGCTCTTCAACGTTGGTTGTAAAAAAATATAAGAGAAAAAAAAGGGATCACAATTACACCCATATCTTTGTCACATGTCACGCTATATTATGCAAACATATGCTAGCAGTTAAACAGCAAATCACGTTATAGGCTTTGTGCTTAGCTTTTTTAAAAAGTGCTTAAAGGTGCTATTTTTTATTTGAATTTTTTAAAAGCCCTAAAAGGTGCTTTTTTTATTTGGAGTTTGTAAAAAGTGCTTAATTTTCTATCTTTTAAAAAGAGATTTTTTCTTTGCCATGTCAATTGTCATTCTAAATTACAAAAAATGCATGATTTTCGCAATTACACATGCAATATTTATAAGAAACTAGTTATTTTATGATGATCAAATAAAGTTTTTGAAAATGTTTTTAAATTTTACTGACTTTAAGTTTATAAATTAAGAGCTCTAAACAATAAAAAAAATAATTTTTATTGCTGCACAGATCCTAGTTATGATTTATGTTTTTTGGTAAGTGATTAAAAATATGTTTATGTGCTTAAAAAGTACTTAAAAAGTTGGTTATTTTTTGTTTAAAAATCTGGCTGCGCCCCCTGTATACATTGTATTTCAAGTTCATAATAAAAATAACTTTTAGTGCTAGTACTGTTAAATACTTGTTTTTATTAAATTCAAGTTGAAATTTAACTATAGATTTTACAATAGCAATACCTACGATTTTACAATAGCAAAATTATCTTTTTTTATATGGGGAGAAATATCCAGAAATTTACTTGTCATAAATGATTTTTATTTAAAGTGACAATTTTTGCAAATATTTTCGTACAATACTTTGGTGTTGATTTTTTGATATAATTTTTATTTTTCACAAAATTAAANAATTGCCTTTTCAACTGTTATTGCTACGAAACTCTACATGATTTTAAAGAACCTAATTTTTAATACGATACTATGATGCAAGAATTCGAATTTTAGTAATCACTTAATATATATATTTGCTAAATCAATTATTGATAAAAAGGAAAAAGTGTTGTTGTTTTTTTGTCACAACCCTGTGATTGGGTACCTCATGTTAATTATTTTAATTCTTTTCAGGTTAACCAATGTGTGCCTGTTTTAGAGGAAGAGAAGAAAAAGAAAAGCAATTGTTTTTCTAACTATCACTTAAGAGATTATTATACTGGATTTCTTTTTGTGATAACCATTACAGAGGTTTTTAAATTTATATTTACTGAATTACGTCCTCATTTCTTTTATACTTGCATGCCTGATATGACTAAAATAGATTGCTCAAAAGGGTAAGGCTCTGACGACACATTATATTTTCATTTTATTTTTTTTCTTCTCAATTTTCTGGCTAGAGTCGCATTGGCGCAGGAGAAAGAGCGTTCGCCTCCGAATGAAGTTCGAATCCCAACGCTGACTGATCGATATGAATTCCGCATCCGACTCGCACCGACCACAGTGCTGACGTAAAATATCCTCAGTGGTAGACGAATTAAAGGTTAGAGTCCCCTTGCCGTAATGCTAACCGTGAGAGGCTTGTGTGGCTTTCATCTACATGTAATGAAAACTCAGGTTAGTTCCAGCAAAATTTCGCTTATTATAAGATCCGGGAGTTCCCTTGTCTTCTGGATTGGGTTCAAAATTACAAGGGCATGGAGTTGAACATTGGTAGTCGTAAACCCAAAATTGGGTCGGCTGTTTTACAACAGTTATGAAATTAAATAAAAAATAAAATATCGTGGCTACAACACTGCACTATAACATCAATGAGTCACATAGAATCAATCAGAGGTGATTGTATACCAGGTTTTTTGTGTCATTCCTCCAGGTCTAGAAACTGGGAGCCTGTGATTTCTTCGTCGAATCCCGCGTATCTCAAGACCATCAATTTGTCCACGAATCAAAATTTATGTTCCAAAGAAATTTTCAAGGCAATCTAAAATTTAAAGTAAGAATTAAGTTCTACAATCTAACATTTGAATTTTGAAACCTTTGCTAAATTGTGTTAATGAGTTGTTTTCGTTCAGGAGACTCTTCTGCAATTTTGATTTTTTTTCCTCTTTTTTTTGATTTGTCAAATTTTTATTGTTTTTATATTTGAAACTATGCTAAAATCTGCTAATATCGCGATTCATATTCTGTCGATTTTAATATCAAACATCGATTTTCGTATCTACCTGATTTAAAAGTTACTCATTGTGAATCATATTCACGCAATTTAAAAATTGTACATTGCGATTCGTATTTATGTGACTTAATCCAATACCTCAATTTGTTTTTACAGGTTTTTGAAATCAATGTTGCTATTTGTATTCACAGGATCTAAAAATCATGCATAGCGATTCTTATTTATGGGATTCAGAAATCCAATATTGCTATTTGTATTTTCACATTCTTTAAGAACTAAGTCTTTTTCTAATTTAGTTACTAAAAAAGTGATATTTTTTATTGGTAGGCAATTTATTTATAAATCTTAGTTCAAAAAATTATATTAAATATGAATAGTATGTAAATTGATATCTTGTTATCGAGTCTTTGCACACCGTTCAATTGTTTGAACTTTCAGGGTTTCTCACTTTGTATCACAATCCCCCAATCTAATGTTAAATTCTCAATTCAGTATGCCACAATAGGCATTTCATATTTCCTAGTCCTATTACATCCTTCTTTTCACTCTCATGTGCAACTCTGCTGCATTTTGCAAGATATTCTCAATTTCAGGCTGCATTTTCCACGCTCTGAAATCAAACCGAAAAATCTCTCGATCATTTTATAATGACTAATATAATCAAGAAAAAAGTTCTTTGTCCGAAACTAGTTATTTTAACGTGTAAAGTTTTTTTTAATTATTTTGCATTCTTTGATGTATATAGTGCTTAAAAATATTTTTTGAGTGCTTAGAAGGTGCTTATTTTTTGATGAAAGATTTGGATACACACCCTGATTGCCCAAAATTGTATTCATATGCTTAATAATTGATTCGCTTAATGTTCTAAAAATTCTTAATTACTTATGTTCTTGAGTTAAAATTATTAAGATCATTGTTCTTCTTTGTTCAACTGGTGTGTTTTATTTTCTAGATTAGTTACAAGTTTTAATTGTACTGGAACTGGACCCAGATGGCTTGTAGATCGAGATATTTATAAATCTTTTCCATCAGGACACTCATCTACCTCAGTATATGCCTTTGTTTTCATAACTGTAAGTATTATACTTACATACAAACTTCTACAAACTAAGGTTTTTTTAGAACAGAATTACATTAAAGATCAGTATACTACTGTTTTTTATTAAAGTACGGTATAATTCTGTATGTTAAATATTTATAAATCTTTTCCATCAGGACATTCCTCTACCTCAGTATATGCTTTTGTTTTCATAACTGTAAGTATTATACTTACATACAAACTTCTACAAACTAATGTTTTTTATAGGACAGAATTGCATATTAAAGAACAGTATAATTCTGTGTATTACAGATTTACCTTTTGATCGATGTTCAATTTCCAATTTTACTTTTATAGCGTTCTTTTTTTAAATTGTGTATTACATTTAATAACTTGTGATTTAGAGACAGGCACTTTATTTTTGCATATAGCACATACATGTTGTATTAATAACACCAAACCTTGCAAGGCCAGACTCATAACTACACAGCAGCGGTATACGGTATAATACGTATTTAATTTTTTACAAAATAATTTCAAAATAAGGCATAAACTTGATTAAGATAATTTTAGCAGGGGTGATTGTTTATCAGGTTTAACCTATCCTTCTTCTGGGTCTAATAACTAGCAGGGGATTTTTCCGCCAATATTTTTTGTAGAATTCCTTCGCAAATCTCAAAACAATCGATTTGTAGACTACCACGAATCAAAAACTTATAATTGGATGAAATTTTTAACTTTTGTTTAATCTCGTTAACACGAGACGTTTGCATACATATATGTGATTCTTCCGTCAATTATAATATTTAATACTGCGTCAGAATCTGCTAATTTAATGATTTGTATTCACACGAGTTTAAAATCCAATGGCATGATTCGTTCTCACATTTTTTTAAAATTCCAATATTGTGATTCCTATTGGTGCGGTTGTAATGTGAAACATTGATTTTCGTATGTATATGTGGTTTAAAAACTATGCATTGCTACCTGCGATTCGTATTCGTGTGATCTAAAAATTATGCATCAAGATTCATATTTTCGCGATTTAAAAATTCAATATCGCAACTGATATTTTCACTTTTTTAAAATACAATATCTCAATTCATATTTATACGATTTTAAAATTGTGTTGTAATTCTTGTAAGAAGTAATTTTCTTTCTTGAATTACTATAAAGGTGTGATATTTTTCATTAGTTGGTCATTTAGCAGGGGTCTGTCTAGGTTTTTCTGAGAGGTACCTATTTTGTGAAAATTTCGACATAATTTGTGAAAAATTAAAAATCGTTTTAAAAAATCAACACAAAAATATTGATTTATCGTTTCTTAAGGGATACAAAAATAAAATTTTACTAAAAAATATTTTGTGAAACTACCATTTTTCCTAAAGTTGAATTTATGAAGATACCGCTAAATGGTAGTAAATTCAGCCTGGACAGACCCCTTTTTAGTTATAAATGTAAGTTCAAAAAATTATGTTAAATAGGAAACATATAGTATATAAATTGATATGGACTTTTTGCACAAATTTGTTTTAGGTTTTTTTTCTGTATGTCATAATTACTCTAATTTAGTTTCAACTTAAATTTAGTTTAAAAGTAAGTAGTAAATTAATTGCAACTTTTGTTGAATGATATAGACATAAATTAACAATTTCATAATTTAGTACAGTGAAACCCCGATTTTATGTTTTCGGTCGGACTAGCGATAAAAAACGCTCGAAGCGGAATAACGTAAAATCGGGATTAAGAAAAATCTATGCATATTTTTAAAAATGGACATCTACCAGTTAAATTAATGGAAAAGATTAGTAATCTTCACTTCCTCTTTGTTTTTAGCTACAATTTCATCTACAACTTGTTTAATACTAACATTTTTTAGCAAATTTGCTTCTTGATTTACATTTGCAAGTAAAAATTGTTTTAGAGTTTTTATGCTTGTTACCCACCCCCCTATTGACAAATGGAACAGAAAGAATGCAAGAATTGCTCCATACAGCTGAAAAGCAAGTTTTTTTTGTTCAAAAAGCTAGAAAAAAGTTTGTGAGAGAGTTGTAAAATAAAAAAAATTAATTGATCCGTTGGTAGAAAAACGCATCAAGCGGGATTTTCATGAAAGGGGTTACGAAAAATCCGGGATTTTTTAACATTATCGGTCTAGGCACTTTTCACGGATCAGCAGAAAATGATGCAACAAGAGGGATAACGTACGAAACGGACAACGTAAAATCGGGGTTCCACTGTATTTTTAATTTTTTTATTATTATTTTGTATATTATTAGTTTAAAATGTTTTAAAGGATAAAAAATAAATTGGTAAAAATCAGATAAGTGAATGGTTGTTTGGTTTATAAAATTTAATAATTAATATGGTAGTTTGCTGTAAATTCTTAAAATGTTTGTATCCTTATGGCAGAATTGCAACCACTCGGATGCGTTGTTGCAGAACGTTACTAAGCGCTTGCAGAAAAATTTTTCTTTTGAAAAGTAAAAAAATTTAGTTTTTTTTTTCTGCAGAAATTTACGCATAAAATATGATTCATGCGTTTAGATAATCCCTTTTTGGCGTAAATCGATGTAATGTTTTGATTGTATTTTCGGCAGTTATTGATATTTATTTTCTCCTGGTTTTTAAATCATCCCGATATATTTCAAACAATATGAAAAATTCGAATTGTGTATTTGAGTATTTATTTTTTAAGGCAATGGTTCTATCGATTTTTTGGCAGCTATTGCTATTGATTTCTCCATAGTTTTTAAATCTGTTACTTTTTTATACGGTATTATTTATTACAACAGCCTAATCCCAAAACAAAACACGCATTTGGGTAACCCCTTTTTGAAGAGTCCGATTTGCATGATTTTGTTGTCCACCTTTTTTTTTCGGCAAATAGTACTGCAGATTTCATGATTTTTAATTAGTTTTTTTTCTTCTACTGATGATTATTTACGAAATGCGAAGATTGAAATAATTAGCGCGTTTCTCCCCCAACAAAATACGAGAATATCACCCATAATGTTAGAATAAAATATTATATGTTCAATAAAAAAAAATTAAATGCAGTTTTTTTTTTTTTTTTTTGTAAACACACTGTGATGTTCTCAACTCGTAATAAACCACACTGTTGAGTTTTTACAACAATGAACATAAATTTATTCATAAAAAAAAACAAAATTAAGAAAATTAACAAAAATTCAGAAAGAACACATCTAAACAAAATATTACATCCGCTCTCTCCAAGAGCGCAACCCCTTCTCCTCCTTTTATTTTCCACCCACTCTCCCCTTCCACCACACGACGTCATAATAATGGCGTCACCTGGTATGACACACACTGTTTTTATTATTTTAAATTAGTAACATATATGTTTTTTAGTATTAAAAGTATCTTGCAGAAAGATATTAATGCTAGAATTCTGTCGCAGATAGCTTGAAAAAATTCTGTTTGTATAATATTAACTATCAACATATCATTAGAAAAAAATTCATTGTTTTGTAAAATCTGATGAATATTTTTTTCTGCATTCTGATGTATATTATTAATAGTTTATGGATATTCATTTTGCAGCTTTTATTATGTAAGAGGAGGAAATCTTCTAAAAGTGTGTGGTGTCACAGATTTGTTCCTGTTTTATTTTTTATCTGGGCAGTAATGTGCTGCATGTCAAGAATACTTGATAACAGGCATTTTTGGTGGGATGTTCTATTTGGTGTTTCCATAGGCATTATTGGTGGTTATATAATGGTAAGTTTAATTTTTCTCAAAATATTTTATATAGCAGTTATTCAGAGATGATTGTGCTCTGGAAAAAAATTCTGATTCCCGGATTTTTTGCAAACCGCAATCCGGAAGTTTCCAGAACTCCAAGGATCAGCAGTTTCAAGAAATCATCTATCACATTCATGTATAAAAATTTATACATAAAAATTCTTATTTTATTTAAAAATATTAGAACAATAATTTATATTCCGCATCTCTTTTATTTGTTAATATTTTTTCTGGTAGAATAATAAATGTGATTAGAGATAAAAGTAAACTTATAAATAATTATTTGTTTAAATTATGCTGCATATAATTTATTTAGAATTTCATGAATAATTTATTTAGAATTTCATCATTGTGAAAATATCAGTGATTTAAATTTATGAAGACATAAATTTTTCAAAATGTGTCATTAATGATTTTATTCAAAAAATTTTCAGGATTTTCGAATTGGGCTCACAATTACCCCTGAGTTATTGAAATTCATAAATTTAACAGAGAGATGCAAATGAATCATTTTCAAATTTTTTGTTATGCAGTATACTCTCGATATCTCAAAATTGAAGGGACACTAAAAAAGTTTCGAAATAGCACGTTTTCGAGATGACCAGTTCAAAACTAAATATGTTCTAAAAAGTAAAAAAATATTAATTTTAAAATATTACTATTAAAAAGTAGAGTCTTGCGACATAAGAATAACTACTATTAAATATGTATGTAATGATAGTTGACTATAATTCCAAATACAACAATAATAATTTTATTTTTAAAAGTAAGACAAGAGCAATAATTCATTAAATGGAAAAGAATTGGTTTACAATGAATTTACACGGTGATTTTTCTGAAAAAATTCATTTTATATTTTGAGAAAAAAAAATTAGGCATAGCAAAGTTTTTGAAGAAATCTTTTGACATAAGAATTCAAGTTAATATTAAGTGGATACATAGTGCCACGGGGGGGGGGGGGATTTCTCTTTTCTTTTGACATAACAAGGTTTTTGTGACATTGAAGTTTCTGATATTGAAAGTATACTGTATTTCTGTATGTGTTCAAAATTTTCACACTGCAAAAAGTTTTTTTTTATCATGCACTTTTAAAAATTTATGAAAAACTAATCCATATCAATTTCAAAAGCATAAATGCTGAAAATGGATATTCTAATGTAGTTCATTCGAGAGTCGATTGTTAATTCATTTTTGTTAAGTTGTATGCTATGTCAATTGAAATTGCCATCTAAGTCTTTAACACATAATAATTTATTTTTTATAGGAATATTATAAAACAATAAAATATTTTTGTATTTTTTATTTTTAACTAATAATAAATAGTTACGTGACACAATGAGTTAACCATAGAATGTTTAGTCTTCAGTTTATTGCTGATTTTTTTTGTTGAAATTAATAAAATAAGCAGTTCCATGTTTAATGCTTCCACATTTTAAAGTAAAACATGCATATTTAATAATAAATTTCACTTAAAAAGCTACATTACAAAACTATATGTATATATAGTGAAACCTCACGTTACGGACACTCCTACAAAATGGACACCTTTCACTATGAACATATTTTCAATTCCCTTGCATCTTTTGTGAATAAACCATTAAGTACCCTCTCTGAAAAGCGTACACTCCCATGACCAGACAGTCAGTTATTCCTTTAAACGATTTCTATATCTTCAAACCATACATCAAGTCTTCTAAATTTGAAAAAAAAAAAATCTGCTTTTAATTCCTAGAAGAAAAAAAACTATGCAACTTTCCATTTTTAAAGCATATAAAATTGGTGTGTTATCCATAACTAAAAATATTGTCTAGCTATTTCACCACCAATGAATCAATCATTCTCCTGTCTCTTTTCTTTATCTTTGCAAAGAAAGGATAGGGGTCGGGATGGACTGGTTGGAGAGGTTGTGAGTTCGATTCCCGCCAGCCGATGACTCCTTGTGTTGTAAAGGGTGTCACGTTAAAACTGCCATGTCACAAAGTCCTCCATGTTCCCATAACAAGTCATACCTCTGTGGGTACTGATTCAGGAGTTTCTTTGTCTTCTGGATTGGTTCAAAATTACAAGATTGCGGGAACATCAGCAGTCGTAAACCCCAAATTGGGTCTGCTGTTCAACCACGGTTATAAAATAAAATTATGAAAAAGGGAAGGATAGAAAATTATACTGCACATTGGAAATATTTCGAACTCCTGCATCTTTTGATATCTTCACCTGGAGAACACAGGTCATAAGATTCCACAAATTGAAATGGCGCTCATAATTCCTCTTCCCTGCTGAAAATTTCTTTCTTCTGCTAATCAATTTAACCTCCATATTCATAGAACAAAAATCTAGTCTTTGAGGTGTTCGTATAAACCAAACACATTTATTCAGATACTTGATGGATATTGAATGTAACAACGCCGTAGGGCTTCATGCCTCACATATATTTACTGCTGCTTTTTTTCTCTCTGAGCACTGTAGGAGGTTTGCCTTCAAAAGTTTTACGACGTTTCTATCAAGTGATGTCAAATTAAAAGTGTCTATTCTGTATTATATGACTAATTTGAATATGTGTGTAGCTGGGAAAAACTATTATTTAATTTGCAGCTACACCTAAAATTCTATGTCTGCAGGGTACATTGCATTTTTAAAAAGTGCTTTAAGGTGCTTATTTTTTATTCATGTTTTTTAAAAGCCCCTTAAAGGTGTTTTTTTTTTATTCGGTGTTTGTATTAAGTGCTTAATTTTCTATATTTTAAAAAGAGATTTTTTCTTGACCTATTGATTGTCGTTTTGAATTACAAAAAATTCATGATTTTTAAGATTTTCTCTGCAATATTAATCAGAAACGAGTTACAATTTTATTGATTTTATGTTTATAAATTAAGAACTTTAAATGATAATAATAGTATAAAAAAATAATTTTTATTATTGCACAGATCCTAATTATGATTTCTTTCTTTTTTTTTTTTGGAAGAGGATTAAAAATATTTTTTTCAATGCCTAAAAAGTACTTAAAAGGTGCTTATTTTTTGTTGAAAAATCTATCTACGCACCCTGATATATCTATCAAACTTTTTGTATTGAAAAATATTTTTTTTAAAGTTTCGATCTAATCAATGTAAAAATTATTTTAGATTTTATAATTATTTCTATAATATTGCAATTATTCTAAAAACAATTTATGTCATTAAACTTCATTAGTGTAGCCTTATCGTACATGGACATCTTTCGTAAGTGGACAGTTTTTTTTATCCCAAGCATGTCCGCTGAACCGACCAAGGTTTCACTGCATATCTATCTTTATATCATTGTGCAAATTGGCATATTTTGTTTTAAATTGATAGCCACAACATCATGTTTGAGTGAAATATTTGTTTTTCAGGCTGTGAAAGTACTATATTGTTTTAAAATTTTGTTCTTGTGTTATGTAAACAACGCTGAAAATATTTCCTTTCATTATAAAGGTTAAATTTTCCTTGATACGATACGACTGCCATTAAAGAAATTCATACTCTCAATTTATGCTTCTTTGCTTTTCAGGCTCTCTTTTTTAAAATTCCTACTATTAGTTCACACTCTCTAATATATCTTGTTCAAATTTTCAATCTTAAATTTTCAATTACTATCAAATTTTCTTCAATTACTTCAAATATAATAAAATTTTCAAAATACTTTTTATTCATCCACTAAAGTTCAAATACATTTTTTTAAACTTGTAGTGGATGACACTTGATGTTAATACAGTTTTTTCAAATTTTTAATTCATTAATTAAATTTTAGTTTTGTATGGGAGAAATTTTTTTTAATTATTTAATAAAAAGTTGCTAAAATAAAACGTGTCTTTGTTGACTTAAGTAGGAATTGACTTTAAAAATAATTTTTTATATCACTTGTTCTTTTTTTTTTTTTTTGCTTTTTCAAGCTCTGAAAGCAATGCATTGTTTTTAATTTATGTTCCTGTGCTATGTAAACAATGTTGACAATATTTTTCTTCAATTTAAAGGCCAGATATTCCTTGAGAAGAGCTCACTCGCATTGCAAAACTACTTAATGTATGCTCGCTTCAAAATGAAAACATGATGCTGCTTTTTATATTTGTTACAAATTTATGGATTCATTCATGTAAACTTTTTCCTACCTTCGAAGATTTATAATGTTATTTTGCTTTATTGTTGTTAAATATTTATATTGTTATTTATCAAACTGTTCATCTATTGAGTCAGAAAATTTTACGAATTTTTTTTATATTATTAATTTTGGAAGTTTCACTTATGAGCTGAAAAATGATGCAACATGATTCTTATAATTGTTTGTGATATTTTAGTGTTTGCTTGTTTTGAAATTATTGCTTGGATAAATTATATTTTGTTATTACACAATTTATTTTGTTTTAGTTTGTATAAATGATCTTATTTTGATAAGAATTGTAAAAAAAAAAAAAAAAGATAAGAAAATGTTGCAGTATTTAAATTGACATTGATGGAGAAAGGGGTGTAGGGATCATCAGAGGAACGAACAAATTTGTGTTTATTTATTTATTTAATTTTTTTGTAACCATTCTTTGTATTATTCACATTTCTTAAATTTAGAAGTTTGCTTTGAGCATAACCATTTGCTTAAGCTACGAAAATGGAGTAAAAGTAGAACTATCAATTACAACAAACTTTTCGTAATTTCTGTGAATTTTAATTTTGACTGTAGAATTAAGTAAAATGTAGTTTAATATTTTGTTTAATTAATACTTTTAGTGCATTTTTTTGTCCAATCTTTAGGCATTGCCTTATTTTTAAAAAAAATTTTAGGTCTAAGATTCTTTCTCTAATTTGCAATATTCTTTTCTCTCTTTCTCACCAATTATTTTTCCTATTTTTTATATAAATAAATAACTTTTTTTTTTCTAATTTTATTTCTGGAGATGTAGCAAAATGACTGCATTGTCAAAAATTTTCAATCATGTACTTTTCAATGTCAACTTTAAATTTTTAGATTCATCATGAATAAGGTGCATTCTTTGTTAGCAATTCTGATTTTTCAATAAGGTCTATTAAGGGTCATTCACTAGTTAATTTTGGTAAAGTTATAAGTTTCACAATGAAATAGGGATTTCTATGGTCAGTTTTGCTATCTAAGTCTTTTTTTTTATTAGTCTAAAGTCACATTTATATTAATTTTTTTGAAATTTAATTGTAAGTTTCTTTCTAGTATCACATTTTATGTGCATATTTGTCAATTTTTCCAATTTTGTTGGTTACTCATTCATATCTTTCTATAAAAAACTGAAATTTTCTGTTGGATTCAAAAAACTTATACTTTTATTATTTTTCAATAACTTATTTTTTCTGTAGTAGAAAATAATTTCTGATAATGTGATATTTATTGTATTTCATTTCATTTTATAACCGTCGTTGAACAGCCGACCCTATTTTTTTGGGTTTACAACCATTAATGTTAAACTACATAGCCTTGTAATTTTGATCCCCATCCAGAAGACAAGGGAACTCCTGGATCAAGTATTGGGAGAAATTTGTCTTTGTGTCGGACTTATTTGATGGAACTAATTCACATTTGCGTTATATGAAGAGGAAGACCATGAGAACCTCCCAACGGTTAGCCTGGCGGCAAGGGGACTTTTTTTTCTTTTCTCCAAGCTTTGGACATGTACCTAGGTCGCTCTGGACCCTTTACCATATAGCCCCTAGCTTGGCTACTGGTCCGGCTCCACCCCAGTCTAGAAAGAACCCGGACAGCTGGTATTTATTGAAAATTTTGATATATACAAAGTCACAATGGTTATAAATTACAAAAGATCAAATATAGTACAAGTTGAGATTGTTAGTATAAGACATAGTTGACTCTAAAGGAATATTTAATAATATGTACAGCTATGAACATCTCTTAAGAAATTGTATACATGCAAGCAACCAAGAAGTTGAATTGAAAAAAAATGCAGAAAGAGAAATTTCGCCTAAGAGTTGAAGTTGTAGTTGGCTTTAAAGCGTAGAAGTTCTGATAGGTAACTGGGACAAGTAGGGTTGGACTCTTAGCTCATGATCAGTCTACCACTGAGGATACTCCACATCAGCACTGTGGTTGGTGCAAGCCAGATGCGAAATTCGTATTGACCAGCCATCGCTAGGATTTGAACCCAGTTCACCTGATTGGAAGGTAAACGCTATATCCCCTGAGCCACCCGAGCTCATATTTATCGAATTATCACAAATTATAAATGACCTACTAAAAATTTGGTTAAAAACAATAAAAAAATCTTCTGTAATGATGGCAATAAAAGGTGGGCAGCCCTTCCTTCTCGCATTTTCTTCATTCTTGTCGAAAATAAATACTTATGTGTAAAGATTCTCTGCTATAAGTTACAGGAATTACCCTGTACAAAAAATGAAAACTACTTGTTTTTACCCTATTTTATTTGTATAATCAGGGGTCTGTCTAGGTTTTTCTGAAAGGTACCTATTTTGTGAAAATTTAGACATAATTTGTGAAAAATTGAAAATTATATTAAAATATCAACACAAAAACATGGTAAAAATATAGATTTAATGTTTCTTAACGGATACAAAAACAAAATTTTAAGGAAAAGTATTTTGTGAAGCTACCGTTTTTTCTAAAGTTGAATTTGTGAAGCTGCCGTTTTAAATAAAATTGAATTTGTGAAGGTACCGCTAAACGGTAGTAAATTCGGCCTGGACAGACCCCTGATAATAATACCTAGGATTACTATTAGGAATTTTTTTTCCTTTACTGTTACAGTTGAAACTTTCTAAAAATTATTTAGTCCTAAAATCTGCACCTTTTTAAATTTTCTTTGTAACAGTTTTTAAATATTTGTGTGTTCTAATTTGTTGATATTTTAGTTTTTACTAATGTTTTGTTTAAAGAAATGTATTAAAATATTATATAACGCTTAATACATGTAACTAAGCACCAAGTATACTTTATGCAGAAAATGTCTCTCAATATCATACCTTTTTCTGTTATTTACAAACAAACATTCATGTGTGGATGAAATTTGCTTTGTAATGAATGAGAAAGTAAACCTTCTTATACGTAATCTAGATGTTAATCTTTCTATGCAGCTAAATAAAATTAAAGTTTAATTTATTGTTAGGAATTTTAAGATTAAGTAAGAGGAAACAAAATTTTAAAAAATAAAAAGCCTTTTATTCAAGTTAGTCCTTTTTCGGCTTGTAAGTTACTGAGGCAAAAGCAAGTTCCTATTTTGTTGTTTTTCCCCCTTGAAATCTGTATAGAGTTTAAGAAAAATGTAACTTTAACAGAAGATTTCTCTTTTCTAGAAATATTCTAATTTTACTTTGAAACTGGAATTAAGTGAAAATAAAAAAACTGAATTTGGGGAGAAGCTCAGATAAATTAGGTTTCATTTAATTTGTTTAACATATTTATGTTGAAAAGTAAACTACTCCTTTATTAAATGATGAAATTTGCATTAAATTCTTAAAATTGATATTATTTGTTATAATATAATTTTTCACCCTTGTTAGAAGTGTATAAATGTATTTTTTTTTTTTTAATTCTATTAATCTATGTTATTTGTTTGATTTGCAAATTTAAGCAGGGTATCTGCGAACCTGAAAAGTCATGAATTTCGTTATTGAACAAAATTTGTCATGAAATGTCATGATTTTAATTATTTTTTTTAAAAAAATTATGGAAAGTCATGAGTTTAGGTTGCCGAAAAATCTAATTTTTAAAATGGAATTTACTCTCCCTTCTGATTTCATGGTGTTCCGAATATCTGAATTTAGAAAAATCCCCACTCATAGTCATATTCTATTAAAATATAAAATGTTTTTATCTTGTTCTTTAAAAATTATGGTGTTCTTTCAAAAAAACAAAAGAAAAAACATTTTTAGAGATCATATCTTTTAAACTTCTGTTATTTCAAAATTTTAATTATTATTTTTTTTAACTTTATTTTATCAATTTAAAATTCTAGTTGAAGCAAGCCAGTCGAATTCCGAAAATTCGACTTTTTAAATTCCGAAATGAGAATTATTTTTTTAAATTCCGAAATGAGAACAGAAAAATCAGGAGTATTTCTTTCCTTTCGGATGAGCAAGTAAAGTATCTTTAGAATATAATTCCGCAGTATAAAAAGAAGAAAGAAATTATTTGCTTTTGTTTTTTTCCCCAGCTATTTTATTGCTTCAACTCTTTCTTTACTCTGTTTTTTTTAATTTAAAATCTCTAAATATGAAGATGCAGAGTGTAATAATTTTGGTTATACCCATCATTTCAATTCATGTTATTATAGTGCTTTTTTAAATTTGTTGTGTTTTGTTGAAGAAAATAGTAACTTCATTAAGTGATAAAAAATTCTTGGAATTAGTCATGAAAAGTCATGGATTTGGAAAGCTAAAATGTAGCAAATACCCTGTTTAGATTATGTTTAACCTTCAAAACTTTTTAATCAGATTTATTTCTTTCCTTGTTATGGTTATATAAAATTTTCCCATAAGTGTGTCATAAATTTATTATATGTTCATTATTGATTGTTCATAATCAAGTACTTTTAGATTATTTCATGTCAAAACAGAACAAATTTTACTTGTGTATAATTTTTTTAGCACATTTCTGACGTTGTTATTGAGTACAAAGTTTCAACTTCATGTTTAATGCTACTGTGAAATTTCAAACTAATAATGAACTATTTGTTTGTTAGTTAATCAGAGCTCATGCATTATTTTTATCACTCAATTGAAGGATTATCAGTATTACTTCTTATCTTTTAATAATCTTATTTTTTTAATGACATTATTCCTGTTTATATATATGTATATACAATGAACTCTCGCTACTACGATATCCAATACAACAATAACTCCCCTCATTACGATAATGTTTCGTGGTCCCGACAAACTTGTATATAAATTAATGTCATGCTCCTCTCAATATTACAATATTCTCTGAAGCAATAAATCCCTGTAAAACGATTTTTTTTTCTCCATTTATTATTGGTTTTAAATTATTGTAAAAAATCTTATTTTATCATCTTTTCTTATTTTTTCCATCTTTTCTGACAAGAGAAGACTCATTGCTGACCACCCCCAAGAGCTTCCTTACTTAGAATCGTCTTCCTCATCTCTTAAGAAGTCACAGTCTTCTCTGATTTCATTTCCATCATGTTAAAAACTGATCATGAGTCACAAATGACCACAAGCATCCCACCTGAAAGAGAATTTTTTCTGTAGAGGGTGGGTGATGCACCATTTACAAACCAACATCATTTTCATGCCTTGGACTCGATTCATATTTTGTTGGTTGACTTGGCAGTCAAAAAAATTAATTAACGAACAAAAATATCAGATTATTTTCAATAAAAATGGTTTTCAGGTATGCTTACTATCTTATTTTCTGAATTTATTTCAATTGCTTTTAACATTAACACTTTCCAAATTAATTTTTTGCTTAATATAGAAAAACATTTATAGTTAAAACATATATAACATTAAAATAAAAATAAAAAATCTTATTGTGTCCCCCAAAGTATGTAGACCTTCAATATAACAATATATCTCTATACAACAATGTATTTATTTAGTCCCCAAAATATTGTTGTAGCGAGGTTTTACTGTATAAAATATTTGAATATATCAGTAACTTTGCATAACTGGTTTACCGACCTGCTTACTTGCTAGCTCATTGCCTGGTTTCATTAATAGATTTGAGTTCAATAATTTGTAGTATTTAAATATGCTCTATGTTAGGAATATACTAAAATTGAAAGTGCAATTATCTAAAATCATATTATGATTTTAGTTTCTGGTGATTTTATATATTTTTGTGTGTGTATCTCCTGTGTAATTAATAAATATTATTTTTGAGAATTTGATTTAAGAGCGATAATTCTTAAGAATTCATATTTTTTTTATAAAATTCTTTGAGGCAATAAAATATTTTTTTTACTAAAGCATATTTTTTGAGTAGTTTTTTATAATAAATAACACATTATTTTCAAGTAATGAATACAGTCCCCGGCCATATTATGAGACGCATTGTACGAGTCTATGTAAAATCTGAATTATCAGGTGATACTATAGAGCTTTATTGTTTTTACGCAATGGAAACCGGTTTACATCGGTTACATGGAAACCGGTTGCTTTCTTTCGTGTGTCAATGGGTTAAATTAGACGATATATCATATAAATTTGACTATTAGATAAATTAGACGATATATGATATAAATATAGAATACTTATTATATCAGGTATTATATAAGTATATTATAATAATTGGACCAAATTATTAGAAACGCTGTAGTGTTTTAATAATTGCATGCTTTGCACGAGTTTATAGGC